CTAAATGCAGGCCAGACCAGGCCTAAAAAAAATTTTTTAACCCTAATTGCGGGCCGGGCTGGGCCTCAAAAATAGGCAATTTGCAGGCCCCTAGTCCATACTATCATTCATTACATAATAATATAAACCTTTACCCCAATTATGAAAATGTGCTCTTATATGATACTCAGTACATGAAATATGATTAATTAGTTTTTTTTCTTTTGTATCATAGTTAATATATAAAGATGTGATTATATTATTTTAAAATAAATGTTCTCTGAATAATTTATAACTTGTAAATACTTTGTAATTATTTTTGTTTAGTTTTAATATTTCATGTTCGATTTCTATTCCGAATTGCTTATCTTCTTCAGTAGTTGATAAGGAATTTTCAAAAACTTCTTTATCGATTGCTGATGAAGTTGAATAATTTCATCTATAAATACTTTCATCAAATGTATTTATTTTTTTTGTTCACATTTAAAAAAGTTTATGATTTTTTTTAAAAGACATTTTGTAAAAGTTTCGTTTGAGTTTGTAAATTAATTTTATTTGATAAATTTAATAAAAATTCTTAAGACATATTGTCTTTAAATAAAAAACAACAGTTATTAAATTTAACTTAAAAAGTAATGATTAAAATTCTTGTTATCATAAATAAGTTTTTCATTATGAAAAATCTTGAATTCCAAGATGTTGTTATTAAAACAGATTACATTAGAATCTTCTTGTCTCATCATGATCCCATGAGCAACAAGCACAAAGGAGTATCTGTTATCTTTAGCAGCACTAATTTTTATTGGTGAATTATTTTTATTGATCTTCATGATAATTTTTCTGTATTTTTCAAACATGAATGTAAACTGGTTCTGTTAAGTTATTAAACCACTCTGAGGTATCAAAAAAGTATAACAAACTGATAATAATTTTTCATAGGTTGACATTTTTAATTATTATGCTTATTTTTTTATAAACATGCTTCCTTTATATAGAAAAATTATTTTATTAATTCATGAGATACTATTTGTAATTTATCATATATTTATAAAATTTACAATAACAACAAGAAAAAGACCAAAAGTTTCCATCTTTTGATTTTTTAAAAGTTATTCTTTGAAGGAT